CTCTAGAAGCATATGGTATCAAGTCTGAACAAGTAGAAGGAACAGCTGCAGCTCCGGTTGAGCTTACATAAGATTATTGTCGAGAGGCTAGTGTGCGAAATTTGAAGGAACAAATTGAGAAAATATACGCAAGTTTTCTTTAAAAAAAAAACAAGCCTGAAGGTTGAAGGTTGTTCACGCTTTCTTAAAAAAAAAAAGAAATTATACTTTAATACAGTTTTTGCATTTATTAATAACCAAAACAAGCTAATAATCCATGTTTTCTCTTATTGAAGTTCTATGAAATAAAATTTTAAAATTATATGTAGGCTTACTTCCTTTGGTTGCACAATGATAGTGATTTTTTCCCTATTACCACAAATTTTGTTCTTTGTCTACTCAGTTAATTTTAGATTTCAGCTTTCGGCCAATGTTGTTGTGTATATTGAATGATTTTGGTAAACCTGTTTTCATTCTGTTGCAAAGATCTCTTAAAGATATGTTGTAAAAAAAAGAAGTAATCTAGGGAATCGTAGTTAATGTCATGTTGTCATTGTAATTATTTGATTATGATTACTTTTATACATAATGTTTAAGAAAGTAGAGAAGTATATTATAAAAATATATGACACTTTTATTTAAGTTTGTTCCATCAGTTTTATTCTAAAGCTAGTTTCTATCACTTGAATTTATACCTCTCCTGCATCAAGAAAACCAAACATTTTGTGAAATTATACTATCTATTCTTTATCAATAAATTTTCAATTCTTATGTTCGCATTACTTATGGAGTGTTATGTAAAGGTCTATATTTGTTTTCTCGCATTCATCAAAGAGCAACAACATAAAATTTATTCTATTACATTTTTTTTTTAACAAAACCAGATATATTAAGATAAAACAAATTCGGTTACATCAGCAAATGATCTAAACAAAAGAAAAAAGAAGAAAGAAAGCAAAATACAATCAAAAGCGGGCTCAGTAAAAACAGCCGAGCCTCCCAGCATCCCAGAAGCCTCGCACAGACCATCCAAAAGGAGACAGCATCGCCCAAAAGCCACCAACTCTAATAAACTGCATCAATGGTTGCCACCAACAAGACGAAAGGGATACGAGCCCCAGCCACATCATTGCCCAATAAACCATCGCACCACCAATCACAAAACCAATCCCCACAAACAAATGGAACAACCAGCAAACAGACAAATTATCTTCTCCTCCGTCCCCTCCCACGAAATCTCCCACGAGAGGCAACAGGCTTATCACAAACTAAATTAAAGTCGTTTCCAGGGTTAGATCCACCGCAAATGTCCGGGGAAGCCAAACCACAATCCGAAAAATCGGATTCCGATTCAAACTCAGACGATCCATTCAGCCAATCCATATGGTTCCTCATATCAAATCCAGAATTTTCCCCCAAACGATTAACCAAAGTATGCGTATCAACCAACTTTACAGGGACTTCAATAAAATTGTTAGAGTACACCAGATTTTCTTTCAAGTTATCCACTTGCACACACTCAGCATTGTTATCCACATTGACAACCGGATTGCACGCAGCCTCTACACCTGGCGAAGGAGACACAGCCTCAGCCACAACAGGAACCACAACACCAGTAAATGGAGCAATCAACACAACAGGCTGCAAAGCCTCATTAACCAGCAAAGAATTCGAAACCAGAGGAGCCACCACACAGACAAAATCCTCACAAGGGTTCACAGAAGGATTCACAGCAACAAGACCTTCCGAATGATAGGAATTATCCAAAGAGTTAACCAACAAAATCGCAGTATTAGCAGAGGCCAAAACAGGGGAAAAAAAGGTAATGCATTAGGAGATAAAACATTCATAACAGCATCAGAATTAACGCCGCCAACATCCAGTACTCCAATATCCTCCCTAGTTAAACCAGAATCCACCAGAGCAGACACATTCAAAGCATCCTGTGCTACTGTAATCGATTCCACAATAGCAGGAGCATCATTTTTAGGACTAGGTTCTACAGTTTTGGGTAAAACAAACGATTCAAGAGCAGCAGTTTTAGATCTACATTCACCAACAACATGACTGATACAATGACAAGCACCGCAAAATAGGAAACTCATCCATCACAACTTGCTAGACATAACTGAGCTTTTTAGAACCTAACTAAATACGATCAGGGTAGGATTTAGTGATATCTAGCTCAACTAAAACCTGAGCTAAAGACGGTCTAGATCCCAAAGAAGTGGCAGTATCAATTTTTAAAGGCTTGCCAAATATGGACGCTAATCCATGAAGAATTCTAGGTGAATACAGACGCGGCTGCAAAGAGGGGAAAGAAACCCAGATCGGGATCACCGGCGATTCAACCCCGACATCAACTATAGGCGACCATTTCGTAAGTTTCATATAGCAATTAAAGACCAGATACGATCTATGACAGAAAATGCGGCAATAATCAAGGTCATTCTCCAGTTTGATCAGAACATGAGACGAATCCAACAAAGTAACCGAAACATCACCAATGAGCTTGAGATTGAAAAAGAATTTTCGAATAGAGTCTAGAGACGGTCGCTTAGTAGGAAAAAAGCCAACTAAAGCGAATTGAAAATGCATAGCCAACGCCTTGATTTCTTCATCCGAAATCCAAAGGGAAGGCAAACCGCGAAAAGAAGAAACCTTAAGATTAGGAAAATCATTACTAGCAGAAGATCCCGAAAGAGCTTGAAGAAAAGAACGAGAAGAACTCGAAACCCCTAAAAAACCAGGGCCTGCAAGTTTCGGAGCCATCGGCACACGCCGGAAAACAAACACCAGCAAAATCACAAAGAACAAGTACTAAAAAAGAGAGAGATGAAGGAAAACTTTCCTGGAAGCCAGATGACAGCCAGCCCTACCGAAGAACGGCAAGGCGCCGCGAGGGGGAAACCCTAGTAGAGCGTGATGTAACTAAGTCAAGTTGATGTTGAGCTTTGAATTTATTCTATTACATTAATAGTAATATCACGAGATAAAAAGGGTTGCTAAGGTAGAATCATGTAATTATCTTCAAATTAAAATATGTTATGGATCTAACATAATATTTCAAGCTCATGCAAGATTAAATTTGTTCAAATTAAAATCATTTGTGTTTCTAATTAGCTTGAAAATCAATTGGGAATATCCACTGTAATATATATATTTATACGTTGACCTTCCTTTGATGTATTAGAATAAGCATGAATCTTAATGCTAAGCCTTCCTTCAACACGTAATTGAATATGTTATTACTGGCATAATTACGAAAACATAAAAATCAATTTAAATATTGATACGTCATCATAAAATTATCTTGATCGGGCATGAATCTCGAGGCAAAACTTAAATCAAAAACTTCAAAAATTAAATTCGGGAGCACGTGAACTCCGATTTCAGTGAGCTTATAGTCAAACTGAGCGTCTCGGAAATACGAACACAACGACACCAAGTTCGACCCAATCTGAGCCCAAATGGGTCCAAATCATGGACCCGAAGCGCTGTTGGAAGGTTCAAACCACAATTCGAGTTACCAAACAGACTCCGATTTTGACGAGCTTATACTCGAATCGAACGGCTCGACGAGACAAATCCAACGAGCCCAAGATCACCGGATTCGAACATCACTAAGGTATTCAAATGCCCAACAAAAAGAGCACAATTGTAGGGTTCAAGATCGGCCGTCCATCCGACTACTCCCTATTCGCCCTTGATCTCACACCTATTTACAAGCTATGCCACTCCAGAAAAACTATAAATAGAGTTCTCATTCTTCACAATAGAGGATCCAAGCAAGAAGAGAAGAAGAGAAGAGAATGAAGAAGCTCCTCCTCGACCGCCGCCGGAACATCACCGGACCACCGCAGGATCCTCACTGGACCACCGCAGGAACCTTGCCGGACCACCGCCGAAACCTCGCCGGACCACCACTGGAGTTTCATTGCACCACCAACTCAAGGCACGATGTTCAGACCCGACGTTCTGCTGAAGACCCGACGTCCTGCTTAAGGCCCGACGTTCTGCTGAAGGCCCTACGTTCTACTCAAGACCAGACCATCAACACCCGAACTTCCAAGTGACACCGGGTCCAACACTTGACTCCTATCGAACAATTACTGATTGTAAATCTGATCGCCCTTAGAGGGGATCCAGTTCCTTTGTAACCGACTCAAATTATAGTAGAATCATTTTCAACTGGGCTAGGCCCCGTGGTTTTTTCCCTTTGAAGGGTTTTCCACGTAAAACATTTTGTGTTATCTATGTGTGAGCTAGTTCTTCGTACAATGTTAATTAAGACGCAGAATTAAATCTCTATCGCCGCGTATTTTGTAGCCCTCAACAGTTGCCGCTGTCTATGGGAAAAGTCAATCTCACTATACTAAGTACTCCATCAATGGCCAACAGGCGTAGCCATCGCATCATGTGAACCTCCCGTTCTAATTCACACCAATCTAGGAATCAGTCCCTGAATTAGGGATGACAGGCGTCTGCCTCTTTTCACTCCAATGGCCGAAACCTTGCCGGAGAAGAAACTTCAGGGCCATCCCTAGAAGAGCGTATCAGAAAGATGGAGGAATCTCAGATTGAGATCCTTCAACTCTTAAGGGAGACTCGAGGACCAGCACTAGTACCCCAAGAAGAAACTCTTCTTCCTCGAGACCAGCCAGGATTCGAAGACATTCTTCATGTCGAAGTCCCCCTTCCTCCGCCAAGGATGCGTCCTCCTGCGCGTCCAGAGAATGAGCTTGCTGACACGGCAAGCTCTACCAATCCTTCGCACACAGGCCATCGGCATCACATCCCTCCGGACGTACCCAAGGACTTGGACAAAAAACACATCACTAAACTCCCCCGTAATACCCTACGGCATGAATTACGGAGACTAGTCCGAGAAGAGTTCCCCATAGGGTATATAAGATAATCTCTTCATCAACGAGACATTTAGGAGTCATCACCTTTCACAGAAGCTGTCCTCCGATACCCCATTCCGGCAAGATTCAAACTCCTGAATATTGATTCTTACGATGGGACTTCATACCCCAACGAGCATATCGATCACTACCGCACCATTATGCATATCCAGGGCCCCGGATGCTTTACTCTGCCAAGTTTTTCCTGCCACCCTTAAAGGGCAGGCCCAAACATGGTTCTACTCACTGCCTGCCCAATCTATCTCATTATTCGTTAAATTGGTCAAGTTATTTGTCGAACAATTTGTCGCCAACCGAAGGATGGTTAAGGATTCCTCCCACCTCTCAGGGATACGTCAGAATGAGGGTGAATCTCTTAAAGAGTACTTTCAAAGGTTTTTCACAGCAGCCCGACAAATTCCAGGGGTAGATCCCGAATTGCTTAGAGGTGTATTTCTTGGAGGGCTTCGCCCGGGCCCCTTCTACTCGGCACTCATGCGAGAAATGGTCCACACTTATGCAGATCTAATCCATCAAGTAGAGGCCCAGATTACTGCTGATGAAGCCATCAATGCTCATAGGAAGCAATTTGAGCAGACAACCGGGAAGCGTAAAAATCCCCCAAGGATGGAGAATCCCCCATCACAAAGGAAGAAGCAAGAAAACTACAATCTTCCTCCTCGGCCCTCACAGTCGCGATGAGAGCCCCGCTAAGAAAAAGAGTACACACCACTTAATACATCACAAGCAAATGTATTAATGACCATCCGGGATCAAGAGAATGTGAAATGGCTATACCCTTTGAAGCCCAACGTCGAAAACCAGGAGCAATATTGCCACTTCCACCGTAGCCGTGGGCACACTACTGAAGCATGTTGGCAGCTCAAGGAAGAAGTTGAGAGACTGATCCGATAAGGATATCTCCGACAATTCATCAAGAATACATCAGCCCGAGATGAAGTTGGTCCGACTGGGGGGCAGAATCAACAAGAAAGGCAGTCGGTAAATAATCACCAAATAGTGGGGGAAATTGGAACCATTGTTGGGAGCCTATCAACACCTTGCCAAGTTTTAATTACGTAGAGCAGAGTAGTGCTACTTGTGTTAAGTATCGTATGTCTTTAGTATTGTGTGACTTCAGTACTGTCTGTCTTTAGCTTTGAATGTTGTTTGTGGTGTTTGTAGCTTCTCCCTCCTTAAGCTGTCTTAGGGAGCTATGCTTTTGTTTAATGCAGTAAGACTTTGTTTCCTTATCTTCTTTGAGTAAAATTGTATTGATAAATTCACAAATGTTTTGAATTTTAATATCCTTGACTCGAACAAATACATAATCGTTATTGTAGCTCAGTCACCAGATGATCAATCCTTGGTAAATTCTCCCGACCTCTTCCGCACAGGTTAACGTCATCGAGCAAGGCTTTGACATACAATCTCGGATAGGTCTTACATCCTTAGTGAATTCTCCCGACCTCTTCCACACAGGTTAACGTCGTCGAGCAGGGCTCCGACATACAACCTCGGATAGGTCTTACATCCTTGGTGGATTCTCCCGACTTCTTCCACACAGGTTAGCGTCATCGAGCAGAGCTCTAACATACAACCTGGGATATGTCCTACATCCTTAGTGGATTCTTTTCCTCTTTTGTGCAGGTGGACGTCATCAAGCAAGGCTTTGGCGTACAACCTTGAATAGGTCACACATCCTTAATGGATCCTTCTAAACTTCTCCATACAAGTTAGAAGAAAAATACCTTAAGTAAGCATAAATAAAATTTACTCAGGTTGCATAAATACACTAAATGTTTAAGTCATATAAAAACATATCAACAATCCACTACTAAATCAAAGTAGGCATCACACAACCACAGAAATATCAAGTACATCACAATCGCTAAAAAAGATAAAGCAATACAAACAGTAGAAACTAGAAATCCTACTCAACATCTACAATCTCATTATCCACATCAAGATCCAGGACCTTCCGAAGATCACTCTCTACCTCATCACCATCGGAACCTGAAGGAAAATCATCTGAAGCCTGGCTAGGGGTCACTCCTTCGACTTGAACTCCGGTCTTTCGCTGCATCAGGCGAACCCCCTTAAAGAAGCCCCGAATAAAGCCATCCGCAGTACACTGCTGCTCCAAACCCTTCACTTCTATATCGTAGACATGATCTCGAGCCTCCTGGATGTGATCCTGAGTAATAGTCTTGAAAGATATTGACTTCTTAAAATTTTCAATAACTTTTGAAGGTTCTATGCTAGACAAAGCAGCCTCCTTCTCAGCTATAAGAACCTGGGACTTATTATCCTTTGCCTCAAGTGATGTTATTTTCTCTTCAGAAGCCTTATGATCCTTCAAAAGCCTGGTGATTGTCGCTTAAGCCTCTTCCATATCTATTTGATGCCGATCTGCATGCCGATTTTAAAGAGATACGGAAAGCATTGTATTGGCCAACTCAGTCCTGCACTCACTCAACTCTTCTTCAAGCACCTTTATCTCCTTAACCTTCTGATCGTACTTTCACTTGAACTCTCCCTGAAGATACTTGATCTTGACAAATTCACTATTCCAGTCATTAATCTCGATCCCAAGACGTGACAACTGAAATAAAAAAGAAAAAGTTTATTAGAAGTCACCCCAAAAGAAAAGGAGACAAAAGCATAGAGATATGCTACTCACCAAATTGCTAGTTTTATTGTGTCCAATACACTGGTGGCTCAAAACATCCTTAGGGATACGCAACTTGGCTGGGGAAGAGTCAGATAGAGCTTTGTCAGTATATGTCGCAGTCCCTTTTTTCTTCTTCAAAACCTGAGGATCTTCATCTCTTGCCGGTCGTTTGGGAGCCGCTTTTGAAGTTGGGGCAGGATTCTCAGGGACCCTGGAAGTCGGCTTCAATATCCTTGCATCAGACCTCGCAGCATGGAATTACAGACCAACCTTGAATAAGAACTCTTCCCCAGTGTATTTACTCATGTGATGAATCTAGAATAAAAGATGATCGAGATAAGGAACCTTCAAGATTCTCATAATATCTTCTTCGCTGACATGCAGAGGGGTTGGCAGATCCTTCATCTTCCCCCATTTCTCCATTAAGCCCCAATCATTCCTTACAAAGAAGAATGCACTAGTCCAGTTCTTTGAAGGATCACGAGTACGCACATCTAACCATTTGGATCGGAAGGTTACACGCCCCTGCGTGTCACTAGTAAATCGACCCATCCGTAAAAGATGCTCTGGTGTCAAAGTAGCTCCTCGATCCCTGAAGAGAGTGACCAATCCCACAGTCACTGAAAATTGGGATAAGTTCACCCCACACCGTTGCAAAACTTCAATCAACTCGGTAGGAGGTGGAAAGCGTAACCCAGCCTGCAAGTGGATCTCAGAAACAGTAAAGTACCCGGGAGGAGGAAGACTAGCCAGATCAGACCTCCTAGGGACCATCGTCTTCACATCATTCGGGAAATGATAATTCTTGTGAAAAAAGAATAGGAAGTCATTTGTAACAGTCGACGCTGTCTCATCCACCCTCGCTTCCTTATTTGGCCTCCGCTCGCCATCATACGGTGCGACGGGGTCTTCCCGGATCATAGGATCTCTCTGTGGGAGGCGATCACCTGACATTTCTCCTAAATGGTGTTGGAGGAGAGAAGGGGAATCTCCGAACTTCCTTGCCAAGAGAGGGGCCTTAGAAAACCGAGGGAATGCCTCAATAGTAAGGACAGAGGAAGAAGAGGAGAAGAAGAGAAGAAAGGAGGAGAAGAAGAGAAGAAAAGAGGAGAAGAAGAAGAGATAGTCAAGTTTTCTTAAGGCTCTAAGGCCTTATTTATATTATTTGAAGGAGAGGAAGGGTATTTTAATTTTTCATAATTTTCTAAATTTTTGTGAATTTTTCGAAATTTTTTGGGATTTTTTAGGATTTTTTGGTAGATCAAACGGCCAAGATCCAATTTTTCAAAGGGGGTGGGGCCCACTTGGGTCGGTGGCCCGAACCGACCCGCCTC